CACTTGCCAGTAAGATTTTATTTATTTGACTTTACATTTTTACTTAGTGAGATAATTGAATACGCAGTAATCAAGTTACGCATAGGATACTAAGCAAATGTGTTTTATCGGTTATGCGTTCTTATCGACCGGGGTGACTGGTACATGTGCTACGCATAATTGTAAGTCTAATGTGTAGACTAACCGGTTGAAGTTTATTTGATAATTCCGATCAATGATCAGAGGCTTCGAGCAGTCCATAGCTCAAAATCGATGAGAGTGATACAACTGCATCCATTTTACCTTCCCTTAAATTTTGCGTTCCAGTATGACTTCATCCTTCTTATTCTGTGATTATTTCATCTCTTATTTTCGAACTGTAGCGTTGTAGCGTGGCGTCGAGTCGCGGTTGACTATGATCACCACTACACTGAGACTACGTGCCAGTTATTAGGTTAGATCCCTTCGTATGTCAAAAACCAGAAAGCAGCTAACGGTTGTAATAAGATATATTTGTTAGCAATCTCGTGGTATCGAAAGAATACTGAGATCATGCCAAAGAGTACAATGGGAAGTACTGAGCGTAACCGAGTTCGCCCAAGGTCACAGTCAACGGTAGAATGTGTATGTTTAGTACACTTAAACAAACAGTTACAGTAAAACAATCACTGGTACAATTGGTTATAATAATAATTGTTTCCATTATACCAATCGCATTCTCTTCATAAAATTAGGTCATTACAGGAGCCCCCCGCTAGAAAGGGTTTACACTTTCGATACGTAGCAGTTTCGTTCGTGGGACTGATCAGCAAACATGTGATTGTAAGACGAAAGGGTTGGCAGAACAGGAAGCAGTTGTTGATCCTCGAGTTGCCACCGAAGGTCTTTTACGTAGAACAGTACCAAGAGGAACGTGATGTATTTGTTGCTCGAATTAGCGTACTACACCAGAGTGGTTTGTATCCAGAATCCGAGGATTGCGTTCGTAGGGGTCCGGATCAGAAAGTTCTGCAGACGTAGGATGGAACCACATTGAGCCAAGAAAACAAAAGCGACCATAACAACTAAATTCGAGACCATACGTATACCAGACATATTTTTAGCCAGAACATCGACTGAGTGTGTTGACAAGGGCGTCAGTGACCAGGCCAGCTTTCGCCAAGGAGTGTGACTTGAGCCAGAGCTGTTTTGGTCTCTGACAATTCAGTAAGCGCGGTATCGTTCAATTCCAATTTGCGTGGATTACCGCGAAGTAAGTCGGTTAATGGTCGTAACCATTCTGCGGCGTATGGGATGAAACGTCGGTAGAAGTTAACCAAACCGATAAATGTCTTCATTTCTTTGAGTGTGGATGGTACGGTGTACTCCATTATTGCACGTACTTTGTCCTCACAAGGTAAAATACCCTCTTGCTTAATAATGTGACCTAAGAATTTTATTTCTGGTTTGCCTAGTTCACACTTGTCCGGGTTGACTATCATTCCATTGTCCAAAAGGCGCTGGAATAGGAGTGTTAGGTGTTGCTAATGTTCATCTACGTTTGATGATGCGATTAACAGGTAGGTCATCAATATAGACTTGAACAAAATCTAAGTCTCGTGCTATGCTATCGATAAGCCTTTGAAAAGTTTGAGCAGCATTCCGTAAGCCAAATGGCATTCGTAGGAACTCAAACAGACCGAAAGGAATCGATGTCTTCAAGAGCGACTTGGACCTGATGATATGCTCGTACCAGATCGATCTTAGAAAAGATAGTCGTGCCCTTGAGTGATGCCGTGTATGTGGGGGATAGGGTAGCTATCAAAGCGTGTAACTACGCTTAATGCTCGGTAGTCGCCGCATGCTCTCCAACTAACCCCATCCTTTTTGCGCACCATGTGAGGAGGACGAATAATACCAGTAGCTAGTAAATTTTCAAGCTAATGTTTAGCGAAAGCTAAGTTGTCCGGTGTCAGTCGGTGTGGTCTTGCTGTGACTAGGGGTCCGCGAGTGACTATGTGGTGTACCATGCTGATGGGACCTCCTCAAGAGGTTTAGTTAGTTGGGGGAATTTCTCGAATAAAGCGTGGAATATATCGTCACGCAAATGAAATACGCCTAAGATCAAGTACGCGTTTATTTGAACTCTAAAGCCCATGAATTTACTGTTCGACGAAGTATCGACTAGCTGCAGCCTACGTGAACCGACTAGTAATTCATAGTGCTGTAGGAAATCAATACCGAGTATGGCTGTGAGAACATCGGCAGCGATGAACGTCCATGGATACTGTCATCGGTTGACCGTGAGATGTCGTGTACCATAGGTAGGAATGGCTGAGCCATTCGCAGCGCGTAGTCGAAGTATCATAGCTTGTGACATACTGTTACCAATAGGTACGACAGAAACTTGGGCACTTATACCGACTAGGTACCTAGCGTTAGTGCGATAATCGTGCACATAAAATAAACGGCCAGTCTGGGGCGAGGGGCTAGTGAGTACGGCCGCATTTACTCTCCGGCTCGGGAGTTTCCTGCCTTGCATGAGCAAGGAGCTCGACAACGGCAGGCACCGGACCCGAAGGTACGGTGGAACCAGCACCAACCCGCACTCGCTTCCGAAGCAGCCTTTCAGCGTGGCTTGGAAGATGCTCGCGTTGGACGAGTGGTTACGGCTTTACGAGAGCGTGACCTGGATCGAGGGACGTAGGGTTTGGGTGTATCGGAACGATTTCGGAAATTTAGACGTGTATGAATACAACCACCCCTATCACCTTGAGCCGATAGGCGACTAGCGTCGAGGTCTACGTTCGAACGAGATGTTGAGGCAACTATATAGTTGTCTCGAATACTGATCCTTGGCAGTATCTTATCTGCTGTTAGGGCCCGCTGGTTAGGTGGGGTGTCCTCGAGCAAAGCCGTAACGGTTGGTTGTATACTTTCAGGTAGGGATTCGAGTCACAATTCTTTAACTAGTTCAGAATCTGCTGTCATAGGTCCTGCGAGATTTCAGGCGCGTGAGGTGGTGGCCCGGTTTAGCGTCGCCCAGGGGGTGACGTGCTAAGTGTTTTTAAACGTCCCTCTCTAAACGGGAAATGTCTAAGAATCGCCTACTTGAGACGATGGTAAACGTTAAGTACGTTCGTGTTACTCTAAGTCCTGAGTCACGAAATACTCTTTTCACTACTGATTCTGAGATTTTAACTCGCTGTGTTAATGTGGTATGACAAGTTGAACCAATGCATGTGTCATGTTCTACGTTGCATGACTACCTTTATAAAATGACAGCGCGATCAGACGTATTTATATACATTAAATATTCGATCTAATCTGTTTGTTTCTTGTACTATTTTCAATTTTTTTTAATTAAAAAACAGCTGTTTCCTAAAGAAAAAACTACTTGCAACTAGGTAGCGAAACGTCAGAAATTTAATTTCCTATTCATTGAAACATTGTTTGTGTCGTTGTTATATTTGTCCACTGTGATACCCAGTCACAAGGTGCACTTTTATGCAATCATTTTTATCTGTAACCGTAGATAATTTTCCCAGCTTTTTCTAAACAACTTCATTCTATGCAACCTCTTCTCTAAAGAAAGACAATATTGCCGCGGAGGATGTTTTTTCCTAATAAAATATTTGGATTAACTTTCATATTGTAGGCTTAATGACCAGATTTTATATATTAAAATCTAAATAAATTCGCTATTCTCTTTTGGTAGACGAAGTTATGAACTCGCTTACGGAATTTTGGTATACAAACATGTTTGGAGAGGGTCGTACGCTGATATGCTCAACTAATGACTTATTAAGGAAGCAGAAACAAGGATTGTCATCTATATGGGATGATTGGATAACTGGCAAAGTAGGTACAAATCAAGATTTTTCTATTTATTCACCTAAAGCTAACAAATTAAGAAATACTTCTAACATGTTAATAGCTCTTATTTGTTAAAAAGAAACATGATTTTCGAACGATAGGCCATGATTTCGAAGATCACGCTTAACGTACTTCAATCTGAACACGTTTCATACGAATTTCAAGTTGACAGACACTATTTGTGAACTGCTTCAAAACTACTAGAATTTCCGTTGTCGATCTTAAAAGCTGATAAAATTGTTAAAACAGTAAAACAGTTTCACTCGGGATTCTCCTATACTTTTGATAGATGCGTTCAAAATATATTGCGAAGTTATTTGTGTATCTATAAGGCATTATTACATGAGACTACTTATCCATCATGTGTTTTTATGTGCTCAGCTCTAAACCATATTTAATCTAACAGCGATATCTGTGTGATATGGTCAACATAGGATTACTGCAAATGTTTACTCTAGATATCTATGTTGTCAGAGACATAATCTACAAATCAATCTCTTCAGTATATTACTATGTATCCTGTGCGACTGGTAATCGTCGACTAGCATTATAGAAGAGAAGTATTATTTTCCTCTTCACAACAAAGTATTGTAAGACTATCGTTTAGCTCTTTTTCTGAGATATACTAAATTCTACACAATGCAAGAAAATATAATGCCGCTAAACATCTGAATTTTTTTTCTTTATGTAACATCTTAACTGAATGTTATCTACCTACATTTCTATTGAATTATTCATCCTCAGTGTATTGCAGAAGAAAATGAACAACAATTTTTCGGCCGAAAAAAATATCCCATTCAAGGTAAGTGGAATAATCATTCATAAAATAACAGCAGAACATGTGCACACCGACACATACATTACTTAACTTCTATTTAAAACTTTTTATTTTAGAGGCATTTTTATGTTTTCCACCGAAAATGAAAAGGACTATTATTGAATGTTGTATGTATTGAATGTATTGTTTAATTGAATACAATAGATATGTTCTCAAATGTGGTATTAAAGTTTAATTATGTCAAACACATAATTGCACACACGTACACATACAGTTACAACAAAAAACAAAAACGTTTACATTTTATTTGAAGTAATTTTTTTTCATTGGAAAATAAAAATATTTTTTTCAAGAAGTAAATGAAATGAGGAAATGCTTTTTCATTGAATTCATTGTTCATTTGGTACTATGGCGATAATGTTATTAAATGAATCAATAAATTAGTGAGCAATCAAGTGAGAATAATATTTTTAAAATGAGCAGATTAGAAATCACTAAGATCTTTTCTGCCAAATTTGAATAAAATTGATGATATACAAATTAGTAGATTTTGTAATAGTATAGCTACACCTGGCCATACTGGTGTTTTATCTACAGCGATATAACCTCCAAATAGTATCCAACATGCAGCTATTGTACTACTAAATGCCATTGAGAAAGCGAAAAATAGGCATATAAGTGCTCCACGACGACCGATACGACTGTCTGAAAATTCATCTCTCAACTAATAAAAAAGGTAAGAGGAAAGTTAATAGCCACTTACGTTTTTCTAAAGTTTACTTTGTTCTTTTTCATATATTAACAATTAAAAACAAATTCGAACTACCTGAGGTAAAAGCCGATGATGTTAGCCAAAACGGTAATGAGAATTCTGCAATTAAGTAACCTAGCTCAGATAGCTCAACAACACAAAAAGCGTCCACCTAATCTGCAAATCTACAACATGAGAATTAGTGTCCATATGATATGTTGAGGAATTCTACTTTCGACTAAAATCATTTAGAGGAATAGCTTTTCAACACCGCGGAGAAACTAGATATATCCGTCCCTGAGACTTGCATTTATGGCTAATGATTCTGCACGACACCCTGAGTATTTCTTTCAATAACTACAGGTGATCAATATCATATACAACGGGAAATAACTTCCGAGTACAAGTTCCCCTTACCGGAAGTAATGCGAATCTATGTTGTTGCGTATTGGGTGGTTGAGTCGTTGGTTCAAATCACACAGTGGTAGTATCATACACAGCCCAATAAAGCGTTTAGCTAAAATCTCGGCGTTAAGTTCTGACAAGCTTGAAATCTTAAACAATGCAGTCATACATATTTGATGTATTTCCATATAACTTTTTCGGTATTGTTTGATAAGTCGATTTATAGCATCTCACTTAAGGTAGACTGTATGTTTATATACACAACTTCAAGTTATTAATATTGTTGGCATTAAATAAATTCTGCAATATCCAGACCAAAACAGCGACGTCTCAACTGTCACAAATGTAGTACTTTAACCAGTGTTTCCTACTCTAGGAAATCTACCAAACACAAAATGATCACAACAATGACTGGTGAATAGCCATATGAAATGGCAAAGCAAACTAAACAACTAGAGCAAGAAATCCGTACGTTTAGGACACAAGGGATTAAAATAATCATGTCTAAGTCTTTCAGAAAAAGGAAATCAATCACGGAAGGACCTGAATATAATGAAGAGTAAGGCACTGGAATAGTGTCAGTGACTAAGGATGAACGAAAAGTATATTGGTTATAAATGGGACAGGAATGAAATATTGGAAAGAAGTCGTAAAAATGCAGTAAATTTGCACAAATCTAGTTAAATGGATAAGCGAACAGAACATACTCAACAATACCCCCAAGTCAGTATGACTTCTTAGGCGCTCCGAACCTTGAGACTTGCTACTCAATAGCCGCTGGGTATGGTACTATTAACTCTTGCTACAACCACCGTACTGACATGATGAACGACCCCTGACATTTTATCCATCGATTACCATTAACAGACATAATCTACTTATATCACCTCAGTACCTGATGATATTTTAGAGCTTTGCGAACACATTAACTCCGGTTGTTATTTTAGTAGCACATGTCATCAACCGAACTCTGCATGGTCGATTATTGCTGAGAGGCAGCGCCAGGTCACTTATTTGCAGGACGAGACGTGTCTGGCCTCAGTTTTGTAGCATTCGTATAGTTGGCAATTATCCTTTGCTTCAACAAAAGAGTATATCAGCAGTCACCCTTATCTCCAATGTCGACTCTAACATTTGCTAGAGATTAGTTTAAATACTCATGGTGATATGTAGAGTAACAGGAATGATATAACTGATCTTTATTCGAAATAAATCCCCAAAAAGAACTTTTCAAACCTGTTTCAAGTGTTGTAAAATCCCTCTTAAGTGTCGCAAAACATATTCCAATTTGCTTCGGTGGATTCAAATGAAAATAAGTTTGTTATGGTTGACTGAAGTCAAAAGTCCAAATGTATCGGCAAAGTTTTCAGAAATTTGCTTCAGTTTCTTTCAAGCTCTCAACAGCTAAATAACTTCACGAATATACCTGAGGGGAAACATATTTCTACCTGTACTTACATGTCTTAGATGGCTAAGATTAGGTCTCGGGTAAGCAGTTTCACTGAACTAAATGATGATGAGGGAAACGTTAGGTATGGAATCGAGGTTTATTTCGAGTAAATATCAATCCGGCTAGAAAAACCTGTATTTGGTGAATTAGTTATGGTTTACACATATTTCAAACAATCATTTAAGAAATGAAAACTACTTTAGCAAACCATTAATTTCCAATAGTTAGAACTTACCACTCCGTTAGGAACACTGTTAATTAATATGAAAGCAATGGTGCTGAATACTCCAGCTGTATGATATGCATTAGGTAAAGAATTGTTTTCAGCGAAAAGTACAGCTGCGTCAATTGCTATCCACCAGCCTAATGCAAATAAAAATCCTGCAATAATTGATACTATGCTATTGCGGATGCGATCAGGTTCAATATCTCGAAATTGGTCAAAAATGGACATTGTTTACTTGGTGTTCAGTAAAAAAAAAAACAATAGTTAGCTAGATAAAAAAAGCTCGAATTTCGACAATATTACGTAGCAAATAACTGACGAATACTAGTATGCAATAAATAGTACTTCATTTAGTATCTGAAAGGGGGATATGTTCCAATGTCGATTGCAATAAGACAGGGCAGTGTTATTGTATGCTGAGGTTAGGCGTAAGATACTCGCTAAATAAAGTGGATTATTTGTACTTAAATTTTATACTTATCGCTACTACGAGTAAAGCTGCTTTTTTGTTTTGCATCATAACTTCCTTTTACAATGTTCATATTAAATGTGACAAACTGGGTTAGTACATTTGCACCTAGTACTCGATTTTTATGGCTGAGACAGGAAAAGTACAATCAAACCAAGTAAACGAATTTGTACTTCGTTGTTGCCTACATTATTGTTGTAACGCGTGTGTGACTGCAGATTATGGAGCAGCGTATTATCGATCGGATCAATGACACGTAAAACACGTACGAACGACCTCGAGTCTCGATTGGCCCTGCTTCGCTGTCTAGCCCAGCCAGTTGAATCCAGAACGCAAGTCTTAGCCTCTGAGATATGAATCGTTATATGTCAAACATACTTTGTTTATATACCAGTCAAACAAACCACATCGTACCATAAAATAGAAAATAACATTGTACAATATTGACCAGTAAGAAAATGACACGTTAAATGAATATTGACCAATGAGGAAATGACTCCATCCCAAGTCCAAGGGTAGCGTTAGACTTAACAGAATAATTTTTGGGATATTTTTCTGAATATCCCAACAATTATCTAATCAATTAAGACATTCGGGCAGATGATATCACCGAATTTAGAACGATAGTTTATTTTTCGATGAAATCAGATTTAAAATACATATCGTTGTTTTCCTAAGGATATGGATAAGTGTTACTGACCGGAGTTCAGAAGGATTAGAAACTGTAGTTTTAACAGCAAGGTTTTTGCCCGGCCAGAAGACGATAGCAACCGGTGGTTAGAGACCCTGAATGACATGGCTCAAAATCGTTTGCAATGGCGCAGGTGCATACACTCTTTGTGTTCTCCCAAATTTTGATCTTATTTCTCTTCTCAAAAACATCTCCAAACACTAATCTTCCCGATTACTGCTTATGCTCTTATTACCTCTACCACTACGGAATTTGAATCGACCACTGCATCTCTGTGCTAATGTGGTGTGGCAACTCGAACTGATGTACATACGTACGAAGTTCTACGTTTTTACGGACTGACTGACTGCACGGCCAGCAACCATTTCAACAAGTATCGATCTTAAGCATGAAAGCTACCAAATGCCCTGGTTATGACCGAGAGTAGGGCGGGCCCGCCCTCCCGCTCGAAAAACTCACACGGCCACGCGTATACAGCCTCTGCCAGGGAAGTCCTACTCACTGCCTTCTCGTGGCGGGGGTGTTGTTTACGAAAATGAGAGGACGAAAAGCGAATGTCCGGCGCTTTACCCGGGTTCCAAACCAATGGTGCACATGGGCTCCAGTATCCTGAGGGAACAAATGGCGTATGAACCAATCGTTGGTCACCGGCTACCATGGGACTGCATCTCCTTACGTTGCTCCACTGCCTTGTGGGTTAGACCTTTAGGTCAAAGGCTCGTGGTGTGGCTAACTATAAAAACCACCTGCTTTGGTCTGGGCACCCGGTCATTATCACAGCCCACACACAAATATAATGAAAATGATGGTATGTACTGAAAACTCTATTCTCGCTTCGATTTACAGTCAAACAATTCATATTATTATTATTATTATTATTATTATTATTATTATTATTATTATTATTTACTACGTCACTTATTCACTCTCTTTCATTCCCACTTTATGTATCCTTATTTTTCGATTTATACAGCAGCTCGCCTATGGTGGAAACTCGGTTTTATCTAAACGTTCTCGAGTCACTGTCCGGTTGAAAATTGTATGCTACCACCAAATACGAACACTGAAGCAGTTTTTCTCAAACCACGTGCACCATTCAAACTGGCTGCCTTTAACGTTCGCACACTTATGCAGGTCTGACAACAGATAGGGCTGGCTATGTCTTTGGAAAGTCTTAATATCGACGTTTGCTGCCTACCCGAGACCAAGACCCGTATTCAAGACTTTAGTGAAGTACTACGAATTCGCTCTCCATCTGTCGCTCCAGAGGGCTTGTTTTATGGGCGTTTATCTGGGAACCCTGTGGCATCTTCGTCCGATTTCGCTGGCGTTACACTGTCTGATTGTAAACTACTGATGTAATAAAGCTACAGTGCCACCAACGACATTTGTACGATTATGCCTTCAATTAAGTACAAGTATACCCGTTCCACATAAATAAAAAATTAATTTTGAATGAAAGGGCTTTTTCTAATTTATTTTAAGGATGACAACGTTAAATGAGTACGTAAAAACTGAAAAATACTTAGAGTCGTGAAAGGGATTTTCATTTGGTAGAGTCCACAGTTTGTCTAAGAAACAGTTGTAAAAAATCTACAAGCTAACAGTCGGTCCTGACAGTTTCTTACAGACTGCGCGGCAGTCCGTTCTGTCTTACTTTACGGCAGCGAAACATGGCCACTAAGAGTAGAAGACACTCGTAAGCTATTAGTATTTGACCACAGATGCCTTAGAAATACTGCTAGCATCTGCTGGGATCACCGGGTAAGTAATAGTGAGGTTAGACGCAGGGTATTAGGGAATGATGGTAAATCAGTTGATGAGGTTATGAATCTTCATCGACTGAGATGGTTGGGCCACGTGTTACGTATGCCTGAACACCGACTACCACGACGTGCAATGCTATCCGGTATTGGAGATTGTTGGAAGAAAGTTAGGGGCGGCCAAACCAAAACGTGGCATCAGTGCTTGAAGACACTAACTTCTAGTCTGAGCCATGTTGGTAGATGCAGACTACTTGGTTGGGGTCCGTGTGACCTTCGCAACCGATGGTTGGAGACTCTTGGTGACATGGCTCAGAATCGATCACAATGGCGTCGGTGCATACACTCCCTGTCTTCCCTTAAACTAAGAGATTAAAATCACTCCATATCTTTCTTTCTACGAACCAATTCTTTCTTCTTGTACTATATCTCTATATGCAATCTTTCTCTTATATATTACCACCTTTGACCTAACCACTGCTATGAATCCGGTGTTCATCTCGTTGTGCTGATGCGGTATGGCAACCTGGACCGATGCACATATGTGCCTGGTCCTACGTTGTAGCTGACTGACTGACTGACAATCCGTCGGTAAATATAGATGGCTAGGAAATGAAGTTTTGATAACATTTCCTGAGTCTTTAAAACATCTTAATGCGTATTTGGTAATCAAGAAATGATTGAACAATACCATGCATACCTAATCTCCCTATTTTGATGCTTTTGTGCCTTTTTCCCAGAATTTTCTATTGCGTGACGTACATTCAGTGATTTTTGTATAGACAAAATAAAAACCGCATTTTCTATAGTACCAACATATGTGGTCGTCATTTTTTATTTCCTTTTGAAAAGTCTCGATCCTTGCTCCCCCGAGAAGCACAAAGGATTTACCTAACAACTGTTGGCAAACGTTGTAGCCAAATTTCCTTGAGAAAAGCATCATCAACTTTATAAGGTCCAGCCAATTGTCTCATGTGGCGTAATAATTGGGAAGGTGACTTGTCGCCTAACTCACACCCGTGCAGTAATTGTTGTAATCTCTTTTCATCTGATAGTGAGGTACGTTGGATAATGGCCTGCTTCAATTGATCATATGGATTAGATGCAGGAATGTTATCTGTCAAATCCGATACCTCAGATGCTACTTCAGTAGGCAGTAGTCCAAGCACGAAAGAGTATTTTGATGTCTGTGAGCGTATGTTACGACGTTGAAACTGTACTTCCACTTGTGCAAACCAAATGCGAGGGTTTAATCGACTGGATGGAGGCACATTTATCAAGTTTAGAGCGTGTAGCTCTGTTGAAATGCTATCCTGGCTCGTGCCTTCAGATTCGGAAGGGTACATTACAAATATACAAAAAATGATTACAACCAAGAGGAAAGTAACGCCGTAATTTATGTGAGTGAACTCAAAATTAGTTTCGAGAAAAAAATTTACGAGCCCACCAGATTTGTGGTGGTTCCCAGCAAAAGGAGCTTATACAAGATATATCGATACACTAGGTTAATAATAATATACCAAGAGAGTTAACAGTAAATACCCTTGGTTTTACTCGCAGACAGACACCTAGGGTATTTACTGTTAACTCTCTTGGTATATTATTATTAACCTAGTGTATCGACCTGACTACCCGAAAACCCTTAATGGTAAGGTTATTTTCGCCATTTAATTTGTGAGTCCTCAACTCCGTAAGAGCATTCTTCCACTTGATTCGATCCTCAAGCGACCAATCTGGTCGAATACGGATATTTGAGTCACGAGTTTTTAGTGCGCTTTTCAATAATGTCTATTTCTTCTCGGGGGAGTAAGAATCGAGACATCTCAAAAGGAGATAAAAATGACGGCCACATATGTTGGTACCATAGAAAATGTGGTTTTTATTTTGTCTTTACAAAAATCACTGAATATACATCACCATACTTCCCCCAAAATAAGGAGATTGGGTACATAACGGTTACTGTTACAACATTTACAGCCAAATTGTTCAAAGGGAACAAAGCAGACTAATATGACTAGCTCTAACGCTAGAGATTCGTAGATTTCTAACAGGAGCCTGTGACAAGTAAGTAGTGCATAGATCTTGGACCGCAAACTGACGTCTAGTTCCAACCAAATTTATCATCTGTGAGTACAATATACCTTTCCTCCAGTTGTATAAAGTAGATAAGAAACAGGTGTTATAAACAAACATATTCTAGCAGTAGAATTACCTTTAATACCTTGAATGTCAACTTACGGCCAACGAAGAGGAAATTAACCCAGTGATTATCGGCGCCTGTTGCGAGTTTTTTGAAATTGTTCTTAAACTGTTCAAATGGTTCAAATGGTTGTGGACGGAATAGAAGAAGCTTTCGCTTAACGGGTGTAGCGGTAAATAAATCCCCAAAATAAATAGCTCTAAGTTTTCGACATTGGATGCTGACCATATGTTTTAGTGGACTCATCTAGCTGAAGGCGCTCGGTCATGCATCCACACCAGATCACGTGTGGTAACGCCGTTCTCAACATCTACCGCAATTGCTAGCCAGATTAGATCAGAGAATTCCGATATATTGGTAATCGCCAAATACACTCTTCCGATCTCCTCGACTCTGTCTTTTGATTTCTCCTGGTGGGTAGAAATTATATTAGAAGGTGTTGCTGGTAAAAGCGTTGTCAAACACTGAATACCTGCGACATCATCATTGGTGGGACCGACGTGATCTAGTACACCTAATTGCAGCTGTGAGTCTGTTCCTTTTAGGGATCTTTATAGATCATTGCCTCATTTTTTATTTTTTTAAACATTGTGATTTTTTTCGTGTTTTTCTTGGATATATATATATATTTTCCCCCGTTCATTATCGTACTTCATACATCATCATGACTGAACAGATACCTAAAGTACTCAAGCTTAAGACTTTGTCCCCGCCTTCGTTTCAACTGATGCCTTTCTGGCCCGACAACATCGAAGCCTGGTTTTGCTACGCAGAAGCCGACTTCTCCGAGCTCGGCGTGATCGACACACGTGCACAATTCCTCGCAGTAGTCGAGGCACTACCGCGCGAATTCAACAGGTACGTAACACCTAGTGTGTTTACTAGTGATGTTTCCGATCCTTACGAAATCTTAAAACACTCGATTCTTAAACGAGGAGACCTAACCGATCGACAAAGGTTAGATCAACTCTTCAATAACATCGACTTGCAACACGGTTCTGCGACGGACATGTTGCAACGGATGAGAGAGGTAATAGGACCAAGAACTTTCGACGAAGGTCTATTCAAACAACTCTTCTTGTCAAAACTTCCCCAACAGGTGCAAGCAGTTTTGGTCTCGTTCCAGAACAACACCTTAGACGAGCTAGCTGCATCTGCTGACCGCATTTTAGAAATTACGAAACCTTCTAATACCGAGCTATTTTCAGTCCAAGAAAAACCTCAAACGACTCAGAATGATATAACCGAGTTATGTCACACACTCACGCGTTATCTTAGTCTTCGTACCGACCGTAAGAGATCGCGCACACCACGTAGAAGCATTTCACGTAAGCGATCTGTCTCTAGACCACGAGAGACAGATAACCCCGATTAGTGCTGGTATCATAACCAGTATGGAAAGTTTTCCAGAAATTGCAGAAAACCCTGCAATTTTCCCAACACGAAACCGACTGATTCGAAAAGCAATTCGGGAAACTTCCAAGCCGGCACGCGTTAACGGCAACCGTAGTCAGCGAACATACCCGTCTGTTATACGTCACAGATGTGACAACGAGAGTTCGCTACCTCGTCGACACTGGCGCAGAAGTTAGCGTTCTCCCAGCAAATCCTAACGACCGACTTCACGAATCGACCCTAAACTTACAGGCTGCAAACGAAAAACCGATAGCGACACGTATGGCAGAAGGTACGTTTACCTTAACGTGGGTTTACGCAAACCCATTCACTGGATTTTCGTTGTTGCAGATGTTTCTATGCCAATCATTGGTATGGACCTTCTGCAACATCAAAATCTGATCATCGATACGCGCAAACGGAGGCTAGTAGACGGAAACACTAATTTATCCGTTTGCGTAACTTCCTTCTCTGGTTGTAAATTATCCCCAGTCACAATTAAGCATATGATAGACCCACTCTATCAACCACTACTCGATAAGTACCCTGGGATATAACAAACTCAACCGAAACTACCGTGTGTAACCAGCAATGTTACACATCACATCACGACTAAAGGACCACCTGTATTCTCCTGAAAAGCTAAGGTTAGCGAAAAACGAGTTCGACCATATGATAGACTTAGGAATCATACGACCGTCAAATAGCCCATGGGGATCTCCGTTGCACATGGTCCCTAAAAAGGACAGCAACGATTGGCGTCCAACTGGTGACTATCGGCGATTGAATGCATAAACCATTCCCGATCGTTTCCCGTTGCCTAACATTCACGATTTGACAGCTACCTTGAAAGGTACAACTGTCTTTTCGAAAATCGACTTGGTTAAAGCGTATAACCAAATCCCTATGGCTACTGACGACGTACCGAAAACAGCTATCATAACTCCCTTCAGACTCTATGAATTTTTGCGAATGTCTTTCGGTCTAAGGAATGCTGCTCAAGCATTCCAAAGATTCATAGACGACGTTTTTCGAGGTCTCAACCTTGTACACGCGTATGTTGATGACTGTCTAATCGCAAGTCCGGACAGAGAAACACATCTCAAGCATCTGGATCTTGTTTTCGAACGATTACAAAAACATGGCATTACTGTAAACGTTCAGAAATGCCAAATTGGAACCGACTCATTAGACTTTCTGGGACACACTATCGATGCTCAAGGTATCCGACCCCTTAGAACCAAAGTGGCGGCCATTCTAGACTACCCAGAACCGACCACCGTTAAGCAATTACGCACGTTTAACGGCCTCGTAAGTTTCTATAGACGTTTCATACCAAAATGCGCATTACTTATGAAACCTCTTACCGACTAACTTCGTGGAAATGCGAAATCCATCAATTTGGACGACACCGCACGGAAAGCATTCTCCACAGTTAAGGAACTGATTGCTAAAGCAACAATGCTCGCACATCAGGACACCCGAGCACCCATTAGTATCGCAGTAGACGCATCGGACTCGGCAATCGGTGACGTCTTACAACAATGGGTTAACAACTCCTGGCAACCCTTGGCATTTTTCTCTAGAAGGTTGCTAGACACCGAATCGAGGTCCAGCACATTCGGTAGGGAACTCCTAGCTATGTATTGTGCTGTACGGCATTTCCAACACTATATCGAAGGCCGTGAATTCACTCTTTTCACGGACCATAAACCGCTCACTTTCTCGTTAAGCTCTCCTTCTGACAAGTACTCTCCCCGTGAGTCTCGACAACTGGACTACATTTCGCAGTTTACTTCAGATATTCAACACATCTCTGGAGCAAACAATGTAGTCGCAGACGCCTTATCTCGCATAACTTCCTTGAACAGTTTCCAAGGGATCGACCTTCTTAAACTCGCTGAGCTTCAAAAAGAAGACACTGATCTTCAGCATGAGTTATCGTCCACAACCCTTAAACTACGCATCAAACAGATGGGAACAGGTAAGGAAACCTTACTTTGTGACACATCTACAGGTAGGGATCGCCCAATCGTGCCTAAATATTGTCGACGCAATGTCTTCAACACATTGCACAAACTTTCGCATCCAGGTGTTCGTGCAACCATCAAGCTTATAGCAGAACGGTTTTGCTGGCCTGGCATGAATAAAGACGTGAGGGAGTGAGCACGCTCCTGTGTAAGCTGCCAAAAATCTAAGGTTATCAGACACAATAAATGTCCTCAAGGCTCGTTCAAAACTCCCGATGCTCGTTTCGACCATGTTCATCTGGATTTGGTAGGACCTTAACCAGATTCAAATGGATACGCTTACCTCTTAACATGCGTAGACCGTTTCACTCGATGGCCAGAAGCAGTACCTATCAAGGACATCACTGCTGAAACAGTGGCCCGCGCCTTCGTCGAGCGATGGGTAGCAAACTTCGGCTGCCCTTCAACCATCACTACAAATCGCGGACGTCAGTTTGAATCTGAACTTTTCCGTCATCTGACCACACTTAGGAATCACTCGCTTCCGAACGACCGCCTACCACCCACAAGCAAACGGGTTGGTAGAACGTTTTCACCGACAACTAAAAGCTTCACTATCAGCTGCAAACGTTTCACAGTGGACCGACGCTCTTTCACTTGTCTTACTAGGTATTCGCAATGCAGTGAAAGCTGACATTGGATACACTGCGGCTCAACTCGTTTATGGAACGACACTTCGACTTCCAGGAGAATTTGTGGATCCTTCATCCTTTTCAATGAACATGGATCTAACCTCCTACACGAACAGGCTTACAAACGCAATGCGTTCATTTAAACCTGCTTCCACTCGACCTCAATCAACTGATGTTTTCGTTCAACCTGACTTATGATATAGTATACACGTTTTCGTTCGTCGAGACTCGCATCGACGACCATTCGAATCAGCATACGAAGGACCCTTCAAAACTCTTCAACGTGAATCTAAGTACTATATAGTCGATAAGAACGGAACAAACGATAGCATCAGCATTGATCGCTTAAAAGCAGCGTATTTAGAAGGAAATCCTATCCACGTCGATTTTCCTTCGGTACAATCGAACGATACGATTCCACTCATAATTCCTCAACCGACGACCAACACTGGCGATGATACTTCGAATGTATCTGAAAATATACCTAAAACGACGCGTTCTGGAAGAAGAGTAAGATTTCCAGAACATTTAAACGACTACTGCACGTAAGGCACTACTCGACATTTTATATTTTCTCGATCTTTCTTTTTAACGATATATAATTTTTTTAAAAAGACAATTTTATTATGCCTATATATTTATATATTTATTTTTAAAAAAAACAAAACAAAACACAGAAAACATTTTTTTAACGCTATTACGTGTGCTTGAGTATATTTTCAATTTTTTCGCCGAGATTGTGTTTTTACGCACATACGAGTGTATTTGGACATGCACTTACACTTTCTTTTTTCTTTTCCAGGACGGCTGGAAAAGAACGATGCAGTTTACGAGGAGTCGAAATTTTCGTTGTAACTATGTTGTACCTCGGTCCCATATAGTAAGGAAAGACGACCAGACGCTGCTACACTTAGTATGCTATCAGAAGAGTGTTTACCAACGACAAACTCGTTAGGTTTAAACTTCTGGCTGGCCACGTCTTAGGGTCGTCACTGCCCCACTAGGGGGGAGTGATCTGTAGCGGTAAATAAATTCCCAAAATAAATAGCTCTAAGTTTTCGACATTGGATGCTGACCATATGTTTTAGTGGACTCATCTAGCTGA